GGTAAGTCCCTGAAAGAAAATAAAGACAGTGTTTCCACGGCCTTGAGCAAAGGTATAACATACAAAGCTGTAGGTCTGAAGGAAAATCTTGATAAATTAGACCTGCCAAAATTCGGTTCTGTTCACTTAAAGATGTCATTATGAGAGTAAGAAGTCAAGTCACCTCATGGGAGAAGGTCTAAAGCATCCAGAGCTGACAAAGAACTCCCATCCAGAACATGTAAATTACTTTCACAAATCCCTAATGAAAAGACTGGTACCAATAAAAACATGAGCTTGAATGCTTATTGAGACTAAAAAGGATAACAAACCCACGAAAAGGTACTCAACATCATTAGTTGTCACTAAATTGCAAATTAAAGCAGTAAGATTCCATTATGTAAGTCAGGATGGAGTGGACGGCAGTGAGGATGGACCTGCAAGCAGACGAACATGAGATAACTAGCAAGTGGTAACATGTGGAGGGACCGGAACTACCGTAGTGCTAGTTGGGCTGTGAATTAGTACAACTTAATTTCCACAACTGCTCATCAGTATCGACTGCAGCTCCACCAGTGTGTATCTTAGGAACTAGCAACACTACTGCTATGCATCTTCCCAATAGAAGCAAGGACCGCCACTAGCACAGAATGAAATCGGAAAGCCCCATCAGAGTTCATCGACGGGTGCACCGCTGCATGGTTCACAATTGACGTTGTATTCCTTTGACTGAAGCTCCAGAGGCTTCGACTCCTCTCAAAATATACTATTAACCTTTCAGGCATCCCTCAGATTTGTTTACTGTGCTGGTTTACATGTTGTTATGAGGCTGGAAGCTAGGCCACTGGTATTTCAAATACCAGTAGGGTCATCTATGGTGGACAGCATGCAGTGGAACTTCTAGACCAGCGATTCTCAACCTGTGGGTCGTGACCCCTTTTGGGAGGGGGAGGACAAACAACCCTTCCATAGGGGTTGCCCAATTCATAACAGTAGCAAAATAACAGTGACAAAGTAGCAACGAAAATAATTTTACAGTTGGGGGGGGGGTGTCACCACCACATGAAGAACTGTATGAAAGGGCCGCGGCATGAGGGAGGTTGAAACCACTCTTCCAGATGACGCGTCACTAGAAAGAGAGCCCGAGTGATCTTCTGTGAACTAGCCAAGGCAAACCCTTGGGCTCACATCCGAAAATGATGTGGCACAGGGCTGGAGGATGAGCTGCCCATGGCCTCACCCCAGCCACCACAGTGCTCTCAAAAGGGCAGGGCCAGGCTGTTTTTTACTGTCGTATACCTAAGTCACCCCGAGGCAGCTGACATGATGGCAACTGACAGTGACAAGCATACGGATCCTCAGCAGTGCTCCCAAATGCATGTGTAGGGCATGGGAGAGCAGAAGGATTTGAGGAGGTGGTGGGCTATGTGCTTTGCAGGTAGAGGAGTAAGTGGGGGAGGATCTGGGAATGGAGACA